GTCGGTGGGGGCCCTTAAGGTTGGGGTTCAACCTTTTAATAAAATAAGGATTTTCCTTTAGCAAGTTGCTTTTCCTTTTAAATTTCAAGGAATTGATTTTGGTGAAACATATATGTATTCTGCATTAATTTGAGGATAATGTGGTCACCTATACTATTTACATTTTAATTACTCAATGTATATCTATAAATAAATAAAAGAAGTATTACATAGTAAATTATTTTGTTGTATATTCTATTACTGATGTGCTAGTTAAGTTAAATGAAAGATTTTAAAATTTCTATGTAACATTGAGTGAACTGCAAATAAATAATTGCATTATCAACTTTCCAAAATTTAAAGAAACTTTTGGTAGCAATTTAAATTCTAAAATTTGGGTGGTTACAACTTTTGATAGGGATATCAATTATCTTCTCGATGAATGGATTTACTATTTTAAATGGATGAACTTTCCGCGTGATGGTTCACGTGCAGTTCGCGCGAAAGGAAAATCAAGATAACTTTTTTTATTTTTCCATCAATTGCTTGAAACCCCCACCCCACTCCCCACCCCCCAAAAAACAAAAATAGTAAATAATAAATAATAAATAAAAAAAATCAAATTGTAAACTTGGCTTGAATTGGTGTATATTCAAAATCTTAGAATTGGAATAAGTTCTGCAATGGACAATTTATGTTTGCCACAATTTCAATAGAACAATTTGTTGACCTCAAAAAATCGAAATTATTTTTTAAAATTAGCGGTGTCATTCTTGTCGAAATTTTGACAGAGTTTGTCCCTTTTGGGGAGATTTTGGATACATATAGGAGTCGAATTAAAGGGAGATTTTGGATATATGTGTGTGTGGTAGAAATGAGAAAGATGGACTTTTCAAAATTATTTTGACTGAAAATGCCCTTCAATCGAAGAATGTTTGAATTTCCAAGAGGTTTAGTTCTTAATTTATCTTGATCCGAGGCGACTTGTTTAGAGAATGAATCTTAGTTTTTCAATCCTTGCAAATGACCAGTTTATAAGAATTTTCAATCCTTTATATGAGTTGACATTCTCCTTATCATTGTATTGAAAGTCATGATTAAGTTCAATTTTCAATATTTTGTTGGAGTAAGTGCTTTTATGAATTTTTCAAGCAATTCGTTGTGAGCATAAGTGAGTTTACTGCGCTAAAGTTTATGTTGATTGCGGAATTTGCACTTTCATTTTTGCTCGCATTGGAGGCTTAGTCCAAGACTTATAGATTTTTTGGTGGTCAAGACCTTAGATTGTATTTTTGCCAAGTGTTACGAATTTACACACCTCATTGCTAAATGGTGCTTCGATGGTTGCGTGAGATATGCCTCCGAGATATAAAGATCAAGGGCGCCAATTGTTACGATTTTGCACGCCCCATTAATTGGCAAATGGTGCTTCGATGGTCCTCAATCTACATGGGTAGTTGCAATGTAGCTTTCAAATTTTTTTCACAGTGCTGCCTTCTACAACTATAAAGTTCAATGGTTTTACAAGAATCGGCAATTGGGTTCTTGCTATTTCTCTTCTTTTCATCTTTCTATTGAAAATACTTTTTTTGTTAACGTCTGTTTAGTATAGTCTAAAAAATTGATAAAAATTTAAGTCAAAATCAACACTTAAATTTTATTATACATATAATGAAATTTATGACTTTTATTAACTTTTCAATCACATATTTTACCGAAATATACTAAAAATAAGATATTTAGCTACACCAAACTTGGCTAAATATAAAAACTGAGCACAACTTACTTCACATTACCTACTCACTTCTAAATCAACACGAAAATAAATTAGTAACAATTCACCAATATAACCCTTGTTTGAACTCCATTCGTTCTCAAAATATGCATCCTTAAACGGTGTTTTGACATTATTTCAACCAGACATTTTTTAATAGAATAATATAACACGTAAATTCAAATTTTGTCCTCATTTTTAAATCACACCTTTCACATCAATATACTATTCAAAAATACATTTTATGACAAAAATTGGGCTGAAACGAGGCAATAATTCTAGACTAAGTTAAAAAAAAAAAAAAAAAAAAAAAAAAAAAAAGTAAGCAAATTGTTAACAACTCATTTATTTTATTAGACTGGTATTAATTATTGTGGGGGCACAATTTATATGGTCTCTATTAGGGATGACAAAAATCCTCGTGAGGAGAAAAAATAATAAAATAATAATAGTATAATAAAAAATAAAAAAATAAACGGACGACAAAACGGGGCAAGCTCTCCCCTGCCCCACCCGGTCTAAGTGGGACGAGGCGGGATGGGGTTGGGTGACGTGAGGCGGAGTGGCGTGGGGTCGTTGCCATCACTAGTCTATAAAATCAAAAAAAAGAAGGAGGTGATTTAAAATTTTAAACAGAAGATTGTCGCAGAAAAGTACGACAAGATTTCACTTTCATTAATATATGGTAATTTTAATGGGACCCCTGAGCTTTAGCCTTATTGACAAATGGCAATCACAACTTCACATTTTTGGCGTTGGGACACCTTTCGATTAACTTTAAGAGTAATGATATTCATATTGAAGACTATCATCGGTAGTCGTCCTACGTGATATACGTACAACAGTTTTTTATTTGATACATAGGGAGATTGTCGATAGTTTTTACTATAAATAACATTATTTTAACTTTAATCCCAATTTTGCATAAAAAATTTTGTTCAAGATATGCGATGGTAAAATTACACTTCCACGCCCTCTCGCCCCGTCCTGCCCCCTCTCAAATGATAAATGGAGCGGGGATGAGAATGAGGAACATTGTTCACTTCTCGAATTCTTCGAACCCACCTCAAATCTTTTTGTTATTTTATATTTTTGTGTTTACTAATTTCAATCATATTTAAAAAATAAATAATTAAAGAGGAAAAAAAATAGAGATTTTTTAAGTCCGTACTACAACTTGCCGATTCACTTAAAATATTTTTTCCTTGATTCGACCTCAATTTGACCATGATTTGACACACCCAGGGCCAAAAACTCATATTTCATGCATATTGGAAGTATTAATAATTTGGAAAGCGAGAGTTCCAGCGAGAGATTTATTTTTTCTGTTGGTTGGTGAATTTTTGACTCAATCATATCTCGTTTCATTATTTGTTAGTAAATATATCTTTAAGTTATGAGGTACACGTAGAGCAACCATTAGATATTGGAAAATGCTGAAAAACCTGGGTGACGGCCCCCCCAAGTGTAGAAGATCAACGGCCAAGACCTCTGCCCCGGATTTTTAAATTGGAGCCCAGGTCTCGAGCTCTGTAGCACGATTGTTAAATATTTTACAGAGAGACCAACGGCCCCCCCCCCCCCCCCCCCCCAAGTGTAGAAGATCAACGGCCAAGGTGTCTCCACCTCGGCCCTAAATTGGAGCCCAGGTCTCGAGCTCTGTAGCACGATTGTTAAATATTTTACAGAGAGACCAACGGTCCCCCAAACAGTGACAAGAACTTGACCGACGAGGAGCCAGACTGCCAGCAATCAGCATGCAGCATCTCCGGAACTCTCCAAAAACAAATTAATGAAAGAGAGCCCTCCAAATTGTGCCCACACACCCACAACCAGAAACTCATCTTTCATGATCAAATTACATGGGAAGTATTATCTTCAGCAATCTGTATAATTTAGCAAGTGTTATAAACACCTTATGGTTCAACTAAAAAATTGATTAAAATATAAGTCAAGGTCAATAATTAACTTTAACCATACATTTTAGCCCCCGTTTGAGCCCCATTATTTCTCATTACATTAAATTACATTTTTCTCTATCCTACTTTTAACCACACAATCTTCAATAAAATAATATTACACGTAAATCAAAAACTTTTCAACCATTCATTTTTCAAAAAATACTATTCATCTCATTAATGATATTCACAACTTTTCAACCACACATTTTTATCAATTTTTATAAAATCTATTAAAAATCTAATTTTTATCTAAACCAAATAGAGACATACATCGCTAGACATGTCATTCGTTGTTTATATTAACATATATAACGATGTGTTGTAGGGAAGCATGTGAGGAGTGAAAATATGGAGTTCATACAATTTTCTAGTTCTTGTTGATTCACTTGTAAATAACAAAAAATTATACGCTAAAGACTCGCTGATTCACGCATAGTATTGAGATTTAGGACACGTGATTGAGAACGCTCAAAGAATCTTAATAAAAATTTTAATTCAAGGTAGAGTACTGAGTATAATTCATACTTGATTATTTATTCTCTACAACTAATAATTTAAATCAAATCTCACGTTAATTAGATAATTAATTAATAAAAATTTATAAGACCTAGTATTAACTCGATGCATTCTCCATTTTCTATCAAATCTTCATTTCCACTAACATAAATTATTTATTATTATCACCAACAACAAAAGGACTTTGATAAGATATCAATATGGTTGAAAAATAACCTTGGAAATAGTGAATTTTGTAATAATTGTGTGGATATGTTCCTAATTGTTACTAAGGTCTTGTTTGGTACCCATTTTTATAAGAATGAGAATGAAAAATACTGTTGTTATGGGATCCATACAAGAGATAGAAAATCAAATATAATAGTTTGATGTGATGGATAACGATCAAATTTTTTATTTTTGTGGCAAAAAATTGAGAATCAAACGAGACTAAAGATATAAAATAATATATAATAAAAGGTAAGTTTGAGGATGGATACCGATTGTTAGTGTGAAAGACTTGAAACAACAAAAAGTAAATTATTTTGATAGTAAAAAATATTACTAAAAATTAATTTTTTTTAAAATAAAAAAAATATTCTAACATATTTGAAAGCAAAAGGTTACTTTTAAAAGTTTTTTTTTTTTTTTTGTAGGCTTTGTGAAACATGTTTTCAAAATTTGAGAATTATTTTTTTTCACTCTGCGTTTTTATTTTAATATATTATACATTACTTGCGCAAAAATTTTGTCAAATTTACAAAAAAGCTTCCATATAAAAGAAAAGGAGATTTATGTTGTGTACTCAAATGTATAATAATTTAAGACAAACGTACATATATGAAAACTAGCAAACGCATGAATAACAAATAATTACATCGAAACATTAATCAAAACCAGGGGAATATTCATAAAGTACCATACTATTTTCTGATCATATAGCCAATCATGCTGTATTTTTCCTACAGCAGCTGAAGATATTCATCGTACACCTTCTCCAGCATTTTTACGGAACTCGAAGAATCCGAATAATGGAGGGGAAATTCATAGGTGCTGAAAAAATCTTTATATTCATCAAAAACTTTATCAAACCCCCCATGATTTGCATGATCAGGCTCAACCAAAGGCCAAAGTTTAAACTTTTCTGTGTCGACTGAAACATCACCAGACGATGCAGCACTCAACAAACTGTCTAAGCTGTTACTCCTCGAACATACCGAAGAAAGCCTTATGGGTTTCGGAATATGGAGCGTCCTGGTCTCGCTACCTTGTGTACCGTTCCTTTCCTTCTTCGTTCGTCTTCTGGAAATGCCAGTTTCTGGCACTGTAGATTTGGTTTGCTTCTGTAGGCTTTTTTTCGAACGCTTGTCTGCTTCTGGTTCAACTGCATTTTGGGTCTCTGCTTCGGGGCATTTCGTTGAACGCTTGTCCGTTTCTGGTTCAACTGCATTTTGGGTCTCTTGGCCGGGGAGTTTCGTCGAATGCTTGGGTATTTTTGGTTGAATACCTGAATTCTTGAGTTTCTTCAACATATGGGTGTTCCAGTGATTCTTGACCTCATTGTCGGTTCGACCTGGCAATCTTCCGGCGATCAGTGTCCAGCGATTGCCCAACAGGGAATGAAGTCTGATGATAAGATCTTCCTCGTCGGTAGTGATGTTTCCTCTCTTGATTCCAGGTCGGAGATAGTTCATCCATCTCAATCTGCAGCTCTTCCCACATCTTAGCAGCCCTTTTTTCACAGAAACATCAGCAAAAATGTTAAGAAGAACTCGCTTTTTAAAACAAATTCGCAACACTCCATCTCCCCAGCATTTGTAAGAAGATTTAGAGGGGAAAAAAAAATTACCAGCTTTGTTGGGTACGGATCTCCACTGGCCTTCACCATGCTGTTGAATATAATTTCTTAGCAAAGTGTCTTCTTCGGAGGACCATGGACCTTTCTGCAATCCTACTTTTGAACAACAAGGAGATCTTCCCATTTTTCTTCACTTCACTTGACTTTGAAATTTACTCACACACGCTGCCAGAGAGGAGTGTGTGTGTTTTGAGGATAGAAGTAACATAACACAAACTCATCACGTTGCTAATGCTCAACGTCATTTTAAAGATAACAACATAAGGAGTGTATGGGTATTTGAGGAAGAAAAAACGTACGATTTGTCTTGTCCTTAATCTATTATTTCGTGGAAGCATCCTGGTCCTTTATGACAAATTCCATCATAAAAATGAAAATAATAAATAAATTGTCCCCGTTCAGCTCAACTTTAAGGTAAATTAAAATTTAAGTCAAAATCAGCATTTAAATTTCACCATACATTTTATTGGACCTACAACTTTTCAATCACATATTCTATTAACATTTATTAAAATCTACAAAAAAATTTCGATTTTTATCTTAATCAAATAGGGGCTATATATACATCTTTCTAAATCTCTTCAACCGTTTGTATCGATAATAACTTTATATTCAACTAAGCCAATGTTTGATTGCCATTATTTGGCAAAAGTAAAGTTTTGATTAGTGAGTTTTTGAAAAATGTATGGTTAAAAAGTAGAGAAAATTTTTAATAACTTGCAAAATATTTAATTAAGTGAATATGTAGATGAAAATGAGTGTGTAGAATAAAAAAATTTGAAATAATGTATGCCAAATAGTGGATATATTATAAAATTATTTATTTGCTTAAGAAAATGATTAAATTGTAATTATAACTCTTCAATAGTTTCAATTTTGCGAGGAAATAATAAATTCCTATATCATACAAATCTAATTTTCAAGCAATTGTACAAGGTTCGTACACCAATCATTGATAGGAAAAATTACAATAATGGTCTCTAACATGTTCATTTTTTATAAATTTTACCCTAACTTTCAATTTATATTAGCGAAAGTTCCAAACCTTTCAAAAATATGTAGTATTGACCAAAGATTGATATTGATCACAATTTTGACTAATTTTAAAAGAACTCTACCCCAACCACCCATCCCCACCCCACGTCACCTTACCCTACCCTTATGAAAACAAAAAGGCTAATGATCCATGAGTATTTATAAAATTAAAGACAAACTTGAATATGTGCATTCAGATTTGTAGGGTCCTGATAATTATCCAATCTCGAGCAAAAATAGGTATTTCTTGTCTATTATCGATGATTACATGAGGAAGTTGTGGATTTATCTTTTAAAAGACAAGTTCGATATTTTTCACAGTTTTAATAATTGAAAAAAACAAGTTTAAAATCAAACTGGCAAAAGATTCGGATTTTTGAGAACTGATAATGGTTTAGAGTTTTACAACATGGAATTTGACAATATGTTCAAAGAAGATGGAATAACTAGGCATAAGAATGTTTCTTGCACTGCCTATTGTTTGATTAATTTGACTTCATCTGCTGCATTGAATAGTGATACTCCTCATGAAAAATGATATGGTAAACTAAGTGATTATTCTGTGCTTAAAATTTTTGGTTGTGTTGCTTTTTTCTATTTGAGCAAAGAAAAGCTTGAACCTAGAGCTAGAAAATCGTTTTTCTATGTTACCCAGATTGTGTTAAGGGTTACAGGTTGTAGGATAAAAGCCAAATGGTGGTTAAGATCATTGAAAATAGAGATGTCACGTTTAATGAGGTTGAAATGACTTGCCTTAAGACTGAATCTGAACTTGTGAGTGAAGAAAAAAGGTGAAGAGGTTAGTTGAAGGTGGGTTAGGAAAATTTAGCACATCTAGACCTACTATCCCTGATGAGATGGAGACTCAGGTTCAACAACCTGAAGTGGGGAATAGAGAGGAAGTAGTTATAGAAGAACATCATGAAATAGAAAATCCCTAAGCAAATTATAACTTATTTAGGAATAGAGAGAGGGGACAAAAGAGAAAGCCTAGAAAATTTGGATATGAATTTGATTTATCTTTTGCTCACACTAACTATGAGGATTTAGTTGATAGAGAGCCAAAAACATTTGAGGAGGCAATGAGAAGTAAACAATCAGAAAAGTGGTTTAATGCAATGAAAGAGTAGATGCGCTTCTTAAAAAGAATCAAACTTGAGAGTTAGTACCAAGACCTAAAAATAAATCTACAGTTGATTGTAAATGGGTTTTTTGTTGACATATGATCGACTTAATCCTCAATGTTTTGATCATAACAAATAAGATTATTTCTAACAAGTTCTTTTTAGTAATGATAGTTCAATGTTCAAATCAATCATGTATTATCGGACTTCAAATGAAGATCAAAATAGAAGCTATGTATTCAATTCAAATTATTCGAGACAAAAAGTTTAAGAGATAAATGGCAAGAAAGATCAAGATCAAGAGCGTGAGAGACGACATCAAAGAAAGATCAAGGCGAGGCAAACTTCGAAGTAAAGACTAGATTTCTTAAGCAAAATGTAAAGGTACTAATTCTTTGATATTTGGCAAAGAATAGTTAAGCTCAAAATCTTGCCATGCATTAAAAATATTTTTTGTGCACTAAAATAATTTGAATTCAAACTTTTTTTTTAATCAAACATGAAAATGATATATGGACTTTAAAGACATTTTTATTATGAAAATTTAGTTAAAAATATTCTCCAGAAATCCATATACTTCAAAACTTTCAAATCGGAACAAATGAAGTCAAAACGTGAAAAAACCGCACTGTCGGGGTGGTCAACCGCCCAGAGAGGTGGTCGACTGGACTTTGACCATTCTAAAACTTCTGATTTTTACTGTACAAACGGGTCGACCGGACGAGTCATTCGAAAATTCAAATTTTTTTAATGTTTTGGACTTTATAAATACCCCAACCTCTTGCATTAATAATTATCACTTCCAAGAGCATTAAATTGAGATACTTCAAGCTTTACCTCTCTACTTCTTATTTATCTTTATCAATTCATTCACTTTTGGAAAACTTTTGATTGAGTTTACTTTTGAAAATCATTGATCAAAGTGTTTCAAACCTAACACTTGAGCTTTACTTATTGCCATTCATTAAAGTGTTAGCCTATTTTTCTCCATTGTACTCAACTTTAGATATATCTTTATTGTGGGAGAAGATTCCTTTTTGTAAAGCTTACTTTTGATAGAATTGTGGGTCGTGTCCGAAAAGGTCAACGGTTGTTAAAGGATCGGTGCTCCTTACTTGTAAGTCACCGGAAGCGTTATAAGAGTTGGATTGCACCATAAGTCAATCAATATAGTGAAAAAGACCTTACTCGTGATGGAGAGCTTGGTAACGGAGGACGTAGATCGGTTGAGTTGGATCGAACCTCATATTAAATCGTTTGTAATCTCTATCCCTTTTACTTATTAACTTTACATTATCTTCATTATTCAATTTCATATTTGCGCAATAGATATATCTAGAATTAATTTTCGAAAAAGTTTTAATAACCAATTCACCCCCCTTCTTGGTTAGTCATTCTTGGGCTTTCAATTGGTATCAGAGCGAGGTACTCACTTTTAAAAGATTTTACAATCTTAAGTAATGGCTAACCAAGTGTTTCAAACTCTAGAGGGACACTCCACTAATCGACCCCCTTTTTTGATGGCACACACTACAATTATTGGGAAGCTAGAATGATGATATATGTGCAATCTATTGATTATAATATTTGGGAAGTTATCGAATTTGGTCCATATGTTCCTACCAAAACTATTAAAATAGATGGTAGACCGGATCAAACTATTTTTAAAACTAGGGAAGAATATGATGAAGATAAGAGAAAATTGTCCTTAAATGCCAAGGCTAAAAATTTGTTTTGTTGTGCACTTGATAGAAATGAGTTTAATAGAATAAGCACATGTGAATCGGCATATTATATTTGACATGCTCTTGAAGTCACTCATGTTGACACAAGCAAGGTTAAAGAAACAAAACTAAATTTGTTGGTTAAATAATTTGAAAATTTCTTTATGAAATAAGATGAGCCCATTGTTAATATGATTACACGTTTTACCGATATTGTAAATGTTCTTAAAGGTTATGATCGTAAATTTACTAACGGTGAACTTGTAAGTAAAATGCTTAGGTCCTTGTCGGAGGAGTGGAGCCCGATAAGAATGTTGATCGAAAATACCAAGGATATAAATGCATATCCTTTGGAGGAGCTCTCTGACACATTAATGACCTATGAGCTAAATAATGCCGAAATTAAGGAGAAAACAAGAAAAAGCAAAGAGGAATCAAAGGAGCCTCACAAACGACAAATTGCACTAAAACCAGCAATTGAAGAAGGAACATCAAAAGAAGACATGAGCGATGAAGAGCTCGATGACTTGGTTCTTCTTGTCAAGAAATGGGGAGGCTTTCGCAATAATCGAAAATTTCAAAAGAAAAAAGAAAAAGGAGAAGAAAGAGGCAAAAAGATTATTTGCTATAATTGTGATAAGCCCTACCACAAGAGAACCGAATGTCCAAATAAAAAGAAAAATTTCAAGAAAAAGGCACTCCAAACAACATAGGATGCTAGCGACGATGAAGAATAAAGTGAAAATGATAGTCAAAACAAAGTGGCAAATATGTGTTTCATGGCAATCGAAGACGAGGTACATTTAGAGGAAAAAATTCTTATGATGAGCTTTCAAATTCTTATGATGAAATGCTTGAGAAATTTGAAAAACTTGCCCTAAGTCATGCTATCCTTAAAAAGAAAAATTTTTTGTTGAAAGAAGAAATAAATAAAATTTTGAAAAAGTAACAAGAAAATGTTGATCATGATTTTGTAGTAAAAGAGAACATTGCTTTGAAAGAAAAAGTGGATGACTTAACAAGAATCATTCATAAATTCACCGACGGAAAGAAATTTTTTTATTTAATGCTCGGTAGTCAAAATGCGTTTTTGATAAAAGGGGAATAGGATATAAACCCTCTTTAAAACAAAAATTCCTCAAAAATATGTTTGTTAAAGCTTCTAACACTACATGTAGTTTTTGTAATAAGAGTGGACATGTAGCCTTTAATTGTGTAGCTACAAAGAAGCTATTTTTCGAAAACAAGCATAAGTGGATTCGAGAATCCACTAAAACTAACTATCAAGGACCCAAGTTTGTATGGATACCAAAAATCAAAACTTAAATTTTTCTTGTATGAACTGAAGAAAACTAAAAGATAGTTCTTAGATAGCGGTTG